TTTCGCGGGCACTCGGAATAGACAGAGGTCACAATACGATATGCCGAGACACGGCACGGTATGAAAAAACAAGATAAAAACTAGATGACGGAGATTTCGTGATTCTCTCGCACGACTCTCTCGCCGAGTCGAGAACAAGGAAATAGTTCACAAACTCGCGAAGACGGCTACACGCAAATCCCGAAAATCTAATAATCGAGCTAATAAAAACGTGACTCTGAATATTTCGGTAACCAAAATTGACGATAATTAATTTCGATACGCTAGACTGTCGGCGGCACTCTTCGGAGAGGGCTCTCTTCGCGAAACGCAAAGTCGGCTGGCCCCGCGATACGATATCCCGAAAAACGAAAGAGAGAGACCGCTCTCTCGCACACAAAACGATACGAAAAATGAGAGAGTACGGTACTCACGGTGATTACGGTATACTATCAATCTCTACGGTACCAACCAACACGTAACTACGACTACTCGAGAGGCGGCTTACAGTTCAGGCGGTGAAATTGAGTCCTGGAATCGTCTGGTGGAGTCCCGGAGGCACCCTCTCTTGGCTACGGCACACCGAACAGTGGAGAGCCGGGCCTCGCGCGTCTCGGTACCCTCTTTTCCGCGCCGATCTTTTGCGCATCCCTCGATGATAAGGTCGATGGCGGGGGACCTAAGGTCTCCCCCCGCCTCCCCCTTTAGCTGAGGTATTTCTTACGCCGGTAATGTATTGCTGGTTGACAGGATTTTCCTCCGGGTTTCTTCCCGCGGCCTCTCTCTCCTTCGGGAACAAACGGGAGGCTGGCCGGGCCCTCCGTAGTCCTCTTTTAGGATCGGCCCTGTGGTTTATTTGGCTCCCGGAGTCCTCTCGGTATCTATAATATTCCAACGCCTAGAGTCTGCGCGAGATATTTCAAATTAAATTACGAATATTTGATACTTAACTGCGCGAGGTCCCGCGCTCTCTCTCTCCTATGCTCGCTCCATCCTCCTTTCGCGCTGCGGTATTCCGGCATCCTCCTTCTCTCTCTTGCTGCGGCACTCCGGCATCCTCCCTCTCTCTCTTGCTTAACATGTCTCTCTCCGGCCGCTCTCTCGAGCCGTCCTTGTCGCTCTACCTATGAGTCGCATCGCACGCGCATCGACAGGCCGATGCTGCGTGCAACGGCAATTCTCGCAAAAATACGGTAATACAAAATTCAAAAAAAACGACGGATCGCACCCTCCCCGAAGTGAGGGGCGCTTCAGGCCTCCGCGGCCTACCCGATCGGGCGTTTTCGCCCTTGTGACGGCGCTCCAAAAGCGTCACGTCACAATATATATGACCGGTCATATCATTAATGGAAAAAATGTATTTCCGGCTACAGAATATCTTTTACTTATATGGCAGATGATCGGCTGGTTAAAAAAACAACATCATTTCAATATACCAGTTGCATTTGAAGATGTCTATTTTCTACGCTCTACGATTTTATCACCACAAAGTCCAGTCAATTTAACTCTTATGATCCAGAAAGGTAACTTATGCAACTAAATTATTTTTGTAAATATAACTGTAAACAAAAATTAAATAATTTTACATAAAATATGATAAAAAAGAAAATGAGTTGAGCTAGATAAATTTAGAAAAAATTTGCATTTAATAAACCATTAGCTGTTTACCAATAAATTTATAGCAGATTTAAACAGAAATTGCATTATATTGACACTAACTGTCTGTATTATTTTTGTAAATATAACTGTAAACAAAAATTAAATAATTTTACATAAAATATGATAAAAAAGAAAATGAGTTGAGCTAGATAAATTTAGAAAAAATTTGCATTTAATAAACCATTAGCTGTTTACCAATAAATTTATAGCAGATTTAAACAGAAATTGCATTATATTGACACTAACTGTCTGTATTAAGCTTATAAGCATTCTATTGACAAAGTTAGTAAAAATAATATAATTAAAATCTATTTGATTTTTACTAAATTTATAATAAATTGTATTGTAAATTTGTTTAATTAGTACCAGAAAGATACGTTTTCAGAGAGATCATTTTTCTCTAGTTATCCACAGTGTCACAAAATCGGAATAATCTACAACTTAGTGGATAGACGTTTATTACTATCACACCCACAATTTTTCAATAAAAATTTGAAATTAATTATTAACATATTAATAAGCAACAGTTACCCCGCAGACCTCATTTTTAATCAAATTAATCATTGGATAGGACATCTTATTTCCACAAAAAGTATTACAAAAAAATGAACATAAGACAAACAGAAAAAATTGTTGAAAAAGAACTAAAAAACTAACTCATCAACTAAAAAACTGTTTGTCATTCCGTATATCAATAAAATCTCAGAAATAATTGTTTTCTCGATAAAAAATACAGACCTTTTAGTAAGCTATAGATGTCTTAACTTGATAGAATTATTAAGACACATAAAGATAAAAATAAACGCCCATTTACTTCAAATGTAGTGTATAAGATCAATTCCAATGAATACAATGCATTCTACGTAGTCAAACAAAGAGACAATTACATGCTAGAATGAGAGAACACATAAATAATATCAGATTGGATTCGACGAGATACTCAGTAATTTTAGAACACATAATAAAAGAAGACCATACATTCGACTGAGAGAATGTGAAGATTTTGGATGAGGAAATTAATTATTATAAAAAACTCATTTCTGAGATGCTATACAAGAAACAAAAAAAAACGAGTTAAATTTAAACAAAGATACTGAGTTATTCAGCAAATCCTATTATGATATTTTGGAAAAATTAACAAACATTAAATAGGAAAATATACAAAACAAATAGGTCATCAACATTCTAGGCATACTAACCGTATACAATATATAAACACACATATTGTGAGATTACATATTGTTACGAGAATTAGCGAGAATGCGCGTGTTAAAGTAATGCAACACTTTCATTGAAGTTCAGAAAGTTTATTACAATATAATTAAGTGAAAACAAGAGATACATAGTAACTCGCGATTGAGTAATTCGTATGCAATAAGCGACAAGAAAAATCAGCTCGAACGGTCGATAGCTAACTGTGTCGTTTTACCAAACATTGAAACGAAGGATCCGTCAACTGATTTAAACGTTGCGAGGCTCGGCGCGGCGCGCGATAAAACGCGCAAGGGACGAAAAAATATAAACACATAGAAGAAACTGAGCCGCTGCACGGCCTTCGTAGAAAATCGATAAATTTAAAGACCCAAATAAATTCGAAATACATAGATAGATTTAATCGATAAAATATACTTTAAATGGTAATTGTCGTAAGACGAATTGATATAAAAAATAGAAATAAAAGGTCTCATCATACCGTCCATTTTTTAATAAACTATCAAGAAGAACGACACACAAGTAAGCGTACGAATTATGTAAGGATATCTTTTATAACACTCAAAATATTATTAATCTTTATTTATCATTCACAGTGCCTATCAGAATTAACAATTTCTCGCATATAAACGACGAAATTTTTCGAGATTTATTTGACATCTCAAATAAACAATCACATCAGAACAAATACACTGACAACATTTTGGATTTAACACATTGTAATACACATAAATTTCACATTAGCAAAATCCTCGACTTAAAGTAACGAAATACTATTAACAATTTTTAAGATTAAGATATTTATTGTATGAATATATATTAGTATGTTTTGTATTATACACTGAATAAAATTTAGTTTGTTATTACAACACCTTAAAGAATTAGCTCGATAAATTGGCCTTTTAAATATATTAATTTGTTTGGAATAATACACGAGCGAATAAGAATTTTGTCTTTTAATATTGTTTAATTTACATTTTATTTTTATTTCTATTATTCGAGTTATCGTGTTATGTTGTATGCCGCGGAAAACGGCACTAAGGTTGCACCAAATTTAAAAATGGGAATCCTAGGCGCTACAGATATGGTGCCGTTATTAACAAAGAGTGTAGCTTTGTTTTGAATTATACTTTTATTTTGGCGTAATTAATCTGTAATATATATAATCGAAATAATTGAACAAAGGCCTTTTTTTCGAACAAATTTTTTGACAATTAATTTATTATTGAAAAATCATACACTGCGGAACGTTTCGAACATTTACTTATGTCATCTTCAGCCGCTAATCTTTACGAAATACTACAAATTTAATTATGAACAATTATTGTTATAATTTCGACGATACATTACTTTATAAAAAAATTTTTGTATATATATTACGTTTAAAAATAACATAAAATATGTATAATAACTCCATAAATACGTACATAACACGACAAATCAGTCATTAGTCAGTTATTAGTCATGACAATTAGAGACTTCCGTTTCCGGTGCAGAAGTAGTGTACACGTGGAGTGTGAGTGTGAAGAGTTGAAGGCGATTAGAGGGTTTAGAGTACAGAGAAAGTGGAGAGAATAGTTTGAGGAGGAAAAGGAAGAAAAGTGAGAAGGTGAGAAAGTAGTGTGAGAGATAATAGTGAGACGAGGGACGGGTAGGAAGGAGAGAATTAGGAAGCTGGATGACAGCTGATCGTGGGCAGGAAGTATAAGAAATATAGAAAGAAAGCGGGGTGCAGAAAAAGAGAGTACAGGTGCTAAGGAATAGCTAGGGAATTTAGGAAGAAAGAGGCAAGGAAATGGGAGAACATAGAGAGGTGCTAAGCAGGTAAAAAGGAAAACAGAGGAAAAGAAGAATATAGAGAGAAAAGTGGATAGGAATTGGGATATAAGGGCTTAGAAAACATGTTGAGTGGAAAGAAAGAAGGAAACAAGGGAGCAGAGGGAGGAGGAATACTAGGGACGACAGGTAAAAAAGGAAAAGAAAGAAGTGGAAGTCTAGGAAATATAGAGGAGCTACTGAAGAGGAAAAAAGGGAATTAGAAGAAAAAAAACGGAGAAGAGAGCGGAGAGATTTTTAAAAGAAGCAATAAGATAACGAGATCACCGGAAAAAGGAGGTAAAGAGGATGGAGAAAAGGGAGAGATTAAAAGAATGTTGCAAGATATGTGGCAAAAAGTGAAGGAGATGAGGGAGGAAATAAAGGAACAGGGAGAGAAGATAAGAGAGGAGATGGAGGAGATAAGGAGAGATTACAAGGTACAGATGGAAAGATGGAGAGAAGAAAAAAAAGAATTAAAAGAGAACATGGAAGGTATGAAGAGGAGGATAGAGGGACTGGAGAGGAAGATGGAGGAAAGGAAGGAAGGAGAAGGAGAAAAAGAGGAACACACAGGGAATGGAATACAGAAAAAAGTAGAGGAAATGGAAAGGAAATGGGAGATACTAGAAAAGGAGGAAAAAAGAAGGAATATAGTAATAAAAGGCTTAGTAGTCAAGGAGAGGAAAAGAAGAGAGAGAAAGGAAAAATTGTTAGAGGAGATAGAGGCGAGGGTGAAGATAATGAAAATAAGGAAGATAGGGGAGGATAGAGAGATGGGGAGGGAAATGGTGGTGGTAAAACTGGAGAAGCAAGAACAGAAATGGGAGGTGATGGAGAAGAAAAAGAAATTGAAATGTAAAAAAGAAAGAATAGACACGGATTTAACGTGGAAAAAAAGGGAGATAAGACGAAAGTTGGGAGAAATAGCAAGAAGAAAAGAGAAAAGAGGAGAAAGGACGGTGAGTAAGTAATGGCAAGATAAGAATAGGAGAAAAATAGTGGAGATAGGACGAGGAAAAAGAAGTTTTAAAAAATGAGAAGAGAAATATAAAAAAAGTGGTAATAAGGAAAGAGGAGAGGAGAAAGGAAGATGGTCTGAAGTAGAGACAAATAGAAAGGAAAAGGGAGAAGAGAGGAAAAGGATGGAAGGTAGTTTTCTGGAACGTAGCGGGAGTAGGGAACAAGGATACAGAGTTTTGGAAAGAATTAGAGGAATGGGACGTAATAGTGTCATCAAAAACATGGATGGAAGAGAAAGGATGGAAGAAGATGAGAAGATACCTACCGAAAGGATACGTATGAGGAGTTCAAGGAGCAAGTAGAAAGAATAAGAGAGAAAAAACGATAGGAGGCATGATTATGGGGATAAAAAAGGAGATTGCAAAAAAAGGAAGAAAGATGGAGTTGAATAAGGAGGGCTTTGTGGTAGGAAGAGTAAAGATAGAGGAAAAAAAATGGAGAGTGATAAGAGTATACGTAGGAGAAGGAATAGAGAAGGCATGCAGGGAGATGGAGAGGTGGACAGAGGAGAAAGAGGAGGAGGTTTACACGATAATAGAAGGAGATTTTAATGTAAGGACGGAAAAGGAGGGGGAAAGAGATAGAGGTGAGGAGAATGCAGGAGAGGAGAGGATATGGAAAAAGAAAAAAAAGTCGAAAGACAACCTAATCAATGCAGAAAGAAGAAAATTACTGGAATTCATAGGAGAAAGAGGATGGAGCATAATGAACGGTAACTCAAAGGGAGATGAAGAGGGGGAATGGACATTTACAGGAGGAAGAGGGAACACGGTAATAGATTATGTAATAGGAAATGAGGATAGCGGAGAGAAGGTGAGAAGGTTAAGGATAAGAGACAAGGTGGACTCAGATCATCACCCAATAGAAGTGGAGATAGAAGGAGGGCAGAGAAGAGAGAGAAGAAAGATACGAGGAGCGAGGAGAGGAGTATGGAATGAGGAGGGTCGGAGGATATTGAGGGGAAATTGGGGGAAATAGGAGAAATAGGAGGAAGAGAAGAAAAGATAGATGGAGAATGGGAAAGAATAGAGGAGAGGATGAAGGAAGTATTGAGAGCAACGGAGGAGGACTAGAGGAAAGGGAAGAAGGAAAAGGGGGAATGGTGGAATGGGGAATGTAGAGAGGAGAAAAGGAAGGTAAGGAGGAAGCTGAGGAGATGGAGGAGGAATGGAAGAGAGGGGGAGGAATATAGGAAAAAAAGAGGAGATTATAAGAGATTGTGTGAGAGGAAAAAAAAGGAAGAGAACGAGAAATGGAAAAAGAAGGCAGCGGAAGTGAAAAGAGAATCGGAGGTATGGGAAATAGTAAACAGAGAAAGAAGAAGATGGAAAGGAATAAATGAAGAAATTGAGATGAGAGAGTGAGGAGAATATTTTATGAAGCTACTAGGAGGAACAGAGGAGAGAAGGGTAAGAAAGGAGAGAAGGGAGGAGGGAAACAGGACAGAGGAGGAGGAGGAGAAAGAGGAAATAAGTAGAAAGGAAGTGAGAGAAGCAATAAAGAAGTTGAAAGTAGGAAAAGCGACAGGGATAGATGAGATACCGAATGAGGTATGGAAGTACGGAGGAGGGAACGTGGAGGAATGGATACTGGATTCTGCAACAGGATTTGGAGAGGAGAAGGATGGCCGAAGAAATGGAAGGAGGGAGTGATAGTTCCGATAATGAAGAAAGGGGATGGAAAAGAGGTGGAAGATTACAGGGGAGTAACCCTGATGCCATCACTGTATAAGGTATATACGATGATACTAACAGAAAGATTGAGGAAGGAGGTAGAGGAAAAAGGGATAGTGCCAGAAAATCAGATGGGTTTAGGAGAGGAATGGGAACGATAGACAACATATATGTTATGAATTATCTAATTAATAGGCAACTGGAAAGAAAAAACGGAAGGATGACGGCAATGTTCGTAGACTTGAGGGAAGCATTTGATTCAGTGGACAGGGAGAAATAATGGAGGCAATGGAAAAGAGAGGAATAAAGAAAGGACTAAAAAGTAGGGTAGAAGAGATGATAAAGGAGACAATGTGCAGGATAAAGATAGGGGAGAAAGTTGAGAGAAATTTTGGATTGAAAAAGGCGTAAGGCAGGGTTGCCCATTGAGCCCAATACTATTTAACATTCTAATAGCGGATTTAGAGGAAGAAATGGGGAAGGTGCGAAGGGGAGGAGTGAGTATAGGAGAAAAAAGGATATATACATTGGCGTACGCGGATGATATGGTGTTGGTAGAGGAGGAATAAGAACTGAGGAGTATGATAGAAAGATTAGAAGAATATTTAGACAAAAAGAGATTGGAGTTGAACGCAAAGAAGACGAAGATAATGAGATTTAGGAGAAAGGGAGAAAGATGGAAGAAAAGGGAGTGGAGATGGAAGAGAGAGAAAATGGAGGAAGTGAAGGAGTTTACATATCTGGGATACAGATTACAGAGGAATGGAGGACAAGAGGGGCAGGTGAAAGAAAAAATGAGGAGAGCGGCAGATATTATGGGGCAAGTATGGGAAATAGGAAAGAGAAAGTTTGGAAAAGATTGGGGGAAAAGATTATGGATGTTTGATAAATTAGTGTGGACAATAATGAGCTACGGGGTGGAAGGAGAGAGAGGGAATGAACAGGATGGAGGAAAGATACTTGAGATGGACACTAGGGGTAGAAAGGAGGACACCAGGATATATGGTAAGGGAGGAATTGAGAAGAGAGAAGTTGAGGATAAGAGCCGGGAAGAGGGCATGGAATTTTGAGAAGAGAATGGAAGAAGGAAGAGAAAGCGAACTGGCAAGAAAATGTTGGGAGGAAATGAGAGAAAGGGCGAAGGTAGGAAGGGTGGGATCGGATTGGGAAAGGGAAAGGGAAGAGTATTTTAGGAAAAGAGGTAGGAGGATAGAGGAGGTGGAGGAGAGAAGAGGAGAGAAAAAGGGATGGTTTGGAGAGCTAATAAAGAGGGATTTGGAGGAGCAGAGGAAGAAGAGGGAAGAGAGAATAGAGGGGTCAGAATTTAACAAATGGTACAAGGAGGTTAGAGGAAAAGGAGTGCCAGAATACTTAAGAAAGGATTGGGGAGAAAGTAGATATAGGAGAGTAGCAAGATTTACATTAGGAAATGAGATATTAGAAAGCAGGTATTGGGAAGAAGCAGAGAACAGAAAATGCAGGATATGTGGAGAAGAGGAAGAGTCATGGGAGCATGTATGGGAGAGGTGTGGATTGAAGGGAGAGAGGAAAGAGAGTTGGCAGGAAGTTGTGAGGGAGATATTAGGAAAAAAGAGAGAGGGGGAAGGATGGATGAGGGAGATAGAGAGAGAGAGGGAGATAAGAGAGGGGAGAGGAGAGAGGAGTGTATGGGGAGATTAAGAGAGAAGAAGGATGAATGGAAGAATGAAAGACGCGAGGGGGACAAAGAGGAAGAAAGAAAAAAAAAGAAGGCAAAAGGAAACGGAAGTCCCAAAAGCGTGTGTGTGTGTGCATGGGATTGAGCAGAAGCCAAACAGAGATGGCCTGGGCAACGGGCGACTCAAAGCGGAAATCCAATCCTTTAGGGCAGTTAAGTCAAGTTAGAGATAAGTTAGAAATAAGCTAGGTTAAGAGTATGAAGGTCATTGTAGCGTGTTTTTTATTTTTGTATTATTTTTGTTTGTATTTGCGGTTGTATTGTTAAAATTGTAAGGGAATTAAAATCCCAAGGGGATCAATAAAATTCTACTACTACTACTACTATTATTAGTTTAACTTGCTTAAACATTGTGTTTCAAGCTCGTCCATGACCAAGTCAGCCAATATTGGTGATAAGGGTGACCCCATCGGACAGCCGAAAATTTGTTTGTAGTATTTTCCACCAAATTCGAAGCTCGTTAGATCAAGGACAACCGAGAGTGTAAAAACTGGGGCAATGTCAAGTCAGTATTTTGCGTGAAATATGTCTATCTCTTTTTCACCTGTTAAAGCTGAATCTTTAGGGATGTTTGTAAATAACAATGAAACATTCAATAAAAATAAAAACTGGTCGTCATTGATCTTTGTGTGTCTAATATTTCAACAAACGTCCAACTATCCTTGACATACGATTTAGGCTTGGGAATTGAATTTGACAAAATTTCCCGTAGATATTGCGCTACATTATACGTGGGGCTACCTACAGAAGAGACAATAATGCGTAAAGGATAGCCCTTCTTGTGCACTTTTGGTAATTCGTAACACCTTGGAAGATTACTACAAGTATTCTTTAAACGGTTGTATGTCATCTCGTCAACAATACCTATGTCGTGCCAACCCTTAACCAATTCATTCACTTTAGTTTTCATACGATTGGCAGGGTCTTTATTTAGTCTTTTATAAGTCGTTGTGTCATTTAATAATTCTATCATTGCGTCGTTATACTTAATCTTGTCCATAATAACAGTAACTTGTCCTTTGTCCGCTTTTGTGATAAGCAAGTTATCATTTTCTTTTAAAAATTTATTGCATTTTGAAAAACTATTCAGGAAAAATCTGTCAATAGCGTTGATATGCTTTTGTTTATTAAGGAATTTATGTAAGGAGCTAGTCACCGAAGTCCGCGCTGATTCCTTTAAACTCTCAGGTATATTTGACTCAACACTCTTCATTATACTGAGTGTCAAATCCAACCTATCGCTCTGATCACATTGACTTATTGGAAGTCCAAAATTTTCACCCAAGCTTAAAAAATCAGAAACTGATTCCGGAATACTCTTGCTACTGATATTTATTAGCCATTTCGACTTGTCTGATCTGTTGAATAAGTGTATGTTCAAATTTTGAGACCGTAATAAATAATCAAACTTCCGAATTAAACAGTTTTTCTTTTTAAGTTTTAATTTTTCAAGCTTGCTGTTGTTCGATTCAAAGAAACTAACCAGGAGTCCTCTCGGTAACATGTTACTCAAGTTATTCTCTATCTCCCTGACCTTGGATTTCAACGAAATCAGGATGAA